CTCATTCCACTAATTACCATGGACAAAATATCCCGGTCGCTCTGCGATTATCTCTTAAAATAGCCCATCTAAACTATAATAGATAGTAACATGCTCGTGAAGCCGGCACAAAAGGCCTGGGGCCATTTCAATAAAACGGCAGATTTGCAATCAACCTAAGCATTTATGCATTTTCCCCTCCCTTCAAGCTTCCCGGGAAGCTGCCGTTTCGTCGTTTGCAATACCTGCGTCCGTTGTGCTTAAATGATCATTTATGAACATCTTTGATAGTGACATTTATTAGCTACCTAGCTATGCCCAAGGTAAGCAGTTAGAACCCAGATTCAAACCCAGCGCTCTTCCATCAAACCTGATCACGGAGGGCTGCGGCGAATCCAATTTCCTGGGCATCAACGTCCGCGGCGGAGCCGGCCATTTCACCCCGCATTGCTGCTGACGGCGTTCTATGAACGGTTCGCTCTGCCTCACGAGCGCTCGTTCCGGCGGAGCAGGTAAACAGCTGACTGTTTCTCATACGGTGGCGGCGGCTGGCCGGACAGGCGGCGCGCGGGCGGCGGCGGCGGCGGCGGCATACAAAGGTCCGCCCGGCCCGCCGCCCGCCGCCGCCGTCACGCTCTCGGCACAAGCGCTATTGATTATTGAAAGTGAGCGCCGCTCAGTCGGAATGGCTGCAGCGTGTCGAGGTGAATACTGTACTGAGCTGTGGGCTCAGTGGGATCGTTTTTCGCCCGCATTGATCACACGACGGCTTGGCATTCGGAGCAAGGAAGGTTGGGTTTGTGATCACTGCAATGGACGTGATTATTTGGTGTAGAATATCGCACAGTGCTATCTTTCGATAAATTTTAAGGGTTTTTTGGGCATTAATTTAAATGTTCATGGTAAAAGTATGTTGTCAATGCACGGTGTCTTGAACGCTTTGTCACGATTTCTAACGTTTGTTTTCGACATCCGCATTAGATAGCTCAATAATCGAAGGCCTCCAACTTTGGTGTGCGTGCATGCATTGACGACGGCGTGAATGAGTTAGTAATTACTCAAACACTTTAATATGTCCAATATCTCCTTAAAATGTTTGCCAGCTCGAGTGGCTGGCCTGTTGTCTTAAGCGTACAGATGTAATCAAAATAACAAGAAGGGCGGGGAATGGAACAAGATCGACGAAGGTAGGGAAACAAGGGGGAAGGGTGGGAGATGGAAAGAAGGAGAGACAACGAGAGAGTGAAAGGAAAGAAAGAGAGAGAGAGAGAGGAGAGAGAGAGAGAGAGAGAGAGAGAGACAGAGAGAGAGGGGGGAAGAAAGAAAGAGAGGGGGGAAAGAAGGAGTCCTGGAACATTTAGGTGAGTGGTGGATCCAGGATTTCGTCAGGTGAAGAAGGCGAGCAACATTGTGGGGCCCCTGGAGTTTGAGACCTCTGCATTAAAAGAAATTACAATTCTTATGAGTCCTATTTGTTATAAGGGGAACCAACTTCCTGTGCGCACGCTAAGGAAACTAGGCGTGGCACACATATAATATGTACATTCATGGAGCGCGTTAGTTTTCTCCAGATTATAGTGCATCCTGTCATATTGAGGCTAACTGTCTTGGCGAATATATGGAAAAGTGAGCTAAACTCGGCTGATAAGTATCATTTAAGTCAAGCACGACACTTGATTTAGCATGGCCAATGTGATCAACCGATGACTGACAACTAATGCAGAGTTCTTGCTTGGCTAAAGAAGCACACAATAGCATAGCATTTAAAATGCAGTAAGTACGTAACGCACAAGTGTAATAACTGTCACACATCCGTTAAACGACGGAGATGACATATTCGACGACAGCGGCGCGTAAAGTTATCTCCTGCGACTGCACGTACTAAGTCGGAGCATATCTCAGTGCTGCTTTGAAACTGAGGCGCCGAAGGAAATCGTCACAGAGTGTAGATTTCAGACTCATGTACGTGAATTAATTCAGCTAGGCCTGTGGCGAAGCACGAGAAGGCGAAACACGCGGAGCTCGCGAGCACATGTGGGGCTTACGGCAACAAACTAAAATTCTTCTGGCTTCAATGGAAGAGCCCTCGACCAATGTGATGGGCTACGGAACGATCTAGAGTACCCCGGCCAATGCAAATTTAGACCCCCGCCAACGGCGTAGGGGACGGTAGGGGACGAAGCGATTGAAGAGGCTGGGGCAGGCCAACAAAGAAGCTGCCGTCAGCACTGAAGGGTTTTCAGAGCAAGCGAGAACAACCGAAGATCAATGTGATGGCCCCCTGGACGATCGGTAGTGCCCGGGCAGGTTGACATATAGGGTGCCGGGCAGAGCGCAGGGCCCTCCGAGCAAGAAGAAAGAACTCAACAGCAACGTGAAGGACCCTAAGCAGCAAACAGTATCTCGGCGGGTTAGAATATGGGGCCCCAGGAAACAACATATTACGCCTTTCGGGCGAATCGGAAAAATCCATGGAGGGTCCCCGTTCTATCAAGAGTGCCCCGGCATGTTAGTGAATGGTGCCCATCACCAGTGTGGGGCCCTCCGAACAGATGCAAAGGGATCGAGGGTAACGCAGAAGGCTCTTCAGCAATCTGATTTATCCGGCAAATGAGCATATAGGGCCCCCGGAACGGCGTAAAGCCTGTGGACAGCGTGATGAGGCTCAGAATCTCCTCTATCGCCACCCTCCCAATAAGCGGGGAATCATTTTTGACTGCCCACGGGCCCTTCACTTTTGCTTCCGACTGTGCTTGGACGCCTGGAGGCCCAAGGACGTCCAAATTTGTTTTTTGTAAAAAAGGATCCGTTCGACCGGTCATGGACCCCTTTGGAACCCAAGGCCCCCTCGACACCACCGGATGGAGGGCATGGCCCCGTGGTCCCCTCGTCTCGTTCCGCCACTGGTTGGGTGCGACGAGCTCCGTAGTCAAGTTCCGGTGTGCGCATATTGGCGCATATTTCGGTGTGCGCATGACGACTGTCCCTGGCGAGCCGCCGCTCATGGGCGACAGCTGCCTCGCAGTCACGGGTGTTTGGTGAGACGGTGGTGGATATAACCAATCCTGGTCGTTACGGGGATCAGTCATCCCCTCTCGCTGCCTTACTTCGATCACCCAGCGTGATACCCAGATGCGTCAGTCAGCCTCCCTGGCTGCCTGGCAGCAGCCGCTGGGCCGGGCGAGTCGCCTCCTCCTGCAGAGAGTTACAGATCGTGTGTTCATCTCCGGACCGACCAATACAGACCAACAGACGACAATGGAAGTCACGATATCAGCGACACGCCGAGTGTGGCTCGGTGGTGTAGCCAGAATTTCGCCCAGAAGGGGGCCAAAGTGGGGCTCACGGTGTCCCTTTAGCCACAGAGACCCACGTCGTCGGTACAGCTGTCCTGTTTTGTTTGATTCAGGGAAGCATTTTAGATTCGGTACCCGATCTAGATGCTTCGAAGTCAGTGTTTAATGTTCCAGAGGCCCCAGGTCACCTAAGGCTATCAAAACTATCCAAGTCTTCAATCTCACGTGTCCCGTCCTTTCCAGGGGAGGGGGGCTTTGATCTCCTCCCCCCCCCCCCTTTGACTACGCCACTGATGTGACAAATTTTCCAGAGCACCCAGACCTGGCGGCGGCATCTCACTGGCCTCTGATGCCTCGGACAAACGCGAGGGCTGCCGGCGGCCGGCTCCGTTCTGTCAACAGTTGTAAGAACGGACAAGTGAGCGTTCTTTTTGCCACATTATTCGTCCTTACCGACCGGATGAGTCCAGCTGCCCGCGACAAAGGGCAGGCATCGTGATCATTCGAGGTCGGTCGCGTGGTCTTTTCTATCAGAAGCTGACCTTGTTAGCCGACTAAGCTGACTCCCATCACGGATGTTATTGCCTCCTTTGTCTGCACATCGGAGGGGCAAAACATAGGCTTCGGTTGCAACGTGTTGTTGCGACCGAACCAATGCAGCCATTCCCAGGACCACTCCAACCTAACGTGGCCATCCCGAGCACCATTCCGAGCCAATGTAGCTCTTCCGAGCACCATTCCGAGCCAATGTAGCCTTTCCGAGCACCACTCCGAGCCAATGTAGCTCTTCCGAGCACCACTCCGAGCCAATGTAGCCCTTCCGACCACCACTCCAAACCAATGTACCCCTTTCGAGCACCACTCCAAGCCAATGGAGTCCTTCCGAACACCACTCCAAGCCAGTGTAGCCACTCCGGGCACCACTCCGAGCCCTGTCAGACGTTTGGGGAACACACCGGATAGCCCGGTGCGCGAACCGGAGTTTTTCATCGCGTCGCCTCTCGCTCACCCGCAGCGGTTATAATAACCATTTGTATGACTAAATGTGTAGGCATATATATATATATATATATATATATATATATATATATATATACGGCGTTTATTATATCCGATGACTTCATCTGGTTTCGACAGCCAGAGCCTTTCTTTCACATAAACAGCTGCTTGTGGAGTCATGCTCAGAGGGCCAAACTTGAAAGATTCCTGTCTTCCCAAAAGTTTCTGGCGGTAATTTACCCTCCAATGAGCAGCTTATTACCTTTTCGGCAAAAAACAGCTCAGATGGCGCTAGCGTCGCGTTCTGCCTCCGGCCCGGGAGTTTTGCGCTGAAACACATTCAAAGGCACCACTGTGCCATGCTCGCCTCCAGAATGGCCTGCGCATGATCTGAACCGCGGAATTGTGGCAGCGAACAACAAAACTGCAAATAGATACAGAACAGATAGGTACTAACAGCAAGCAAATACCTTGGAAAGACTACAGCGCATCCTTCAAACATCTGTGCTACGTGTTGCTGAAGCCAACGTGACGGTCGGCCATGACTCCAAATATCATACCATAGCACCCAACATAACCATAACTACGTCACCGCTGACCGTTCAGGTCACGTATCCTTCGGTCAGCTGGTGGCCCGGGTCGACTGATGACTTCGTTCGCAAGGACACGCAGAGCATGCTGCAAAGACGGCCCACAAAGCCGCCCAAACAAGAAATAAGTCAAATGTAACCAAACGCGATGCATTTGAACAAAAGCAAAGGCGAGCACACATGAAAGACGACACTCGGTAGGTTGGCACACCAGCGTCATGCACCTGAGGACTAGACTGTTAGAAAAAAAAACCGTTTGAATATCTCTACCTCCATTCAGATTTTGACCGCACAACATCAACCCTTATGGTTACATTCAAAGTAATTGACAGCACTTCTACCACAACAAGGATCATTTAGCTCAATCGTACCGGCTGCATTCACCACAACAACTCTACCTAGTGACATTGAAATGGTTTGTACAGACTACCACCATCCATCAACTACCCAGACCCATGGGACACAAAAGAAGAGTCCGAACGAAGCAAGCCAGCTGAGAAAAATGCATTAGCGCACCTCCATGGCATCACCTACATTCTCAACTTCAAACGAACCGCACGTAAAAGCGTCCGACGAACCCTGTTACAACATAAAATGGCCATCTACTATACTCTAGTATCCGAAACGACCAGCGGCTCTGACAACACTGAAGCGCCGTCCAGCAGCTACCACTGCGACAATCCTCACCCACTACTGCGCAGCTCGGCATTGCCACCTGAGCGGGGATTGATGACAGGTCACCGCGCAAAGCACCGCGGTGCTGCTGCTCGTCGCTTACCGCCGAACGAACAACATCCGCGCGCAGGCGACCTCGCGCCAGCAGCCGGAAGTAAACTGTCCGGGACAGGGAACGGACAGGACAAGGGATAGAGCACCCACTGACAGCAGTGTCCGCGGCAGGACCAGCGGGCGCCGATAGCGCGCCCTGGGCGTGTTCTGGAAGCGCGACACGGCCCCGAAACATGTCCGATGGGTCGCTGCATCACGGATGTTAGACGCCGAACACCCGAGACGCCGCAGCGGGCACGATGGCGTCACGAAGCGGTGCCTTCATCCACGGGCTAGCGGCGCCGCACGTGACTCCCTGACGGCCGCAGGGGCCCGAGCGGGCCGACAACTGTGCGGCCCACTTCGTCCGCCTGCCCACCGCCCGGCGCCTGCCGCTGACCGAGCTGGCGCGGCGGCGGCTACTCCGAGGCTTCGTCGGACTCCGCCAGCGGCTTGCCGTCGGTGACGTAAGACATGTGCATGCTGCCGCGGTGCCGGGCGAACGGCCGCGCCGCCTTGAACACCTGGCCGCAGTCGGGACAGTGGAACGGGCCGTCGGCGCGGTGGCGCGCGCCGTAGTGCGTCACCAGCTTGGCGGCGCGGCGGAACTCCGTGTTGCACTGCAGACACCAGATGGACGGCACGCGCGTGTGGAAGCGCTGTGTGTGCTTCTCGGCCGAGGCGGCCGAGACGAAGCGCTTGGCGCAGTGCGAGCAGGAGAACCGCTTGCCGCGCTCGTGACTCTGTGCGTGGCGCTGCAGGTACCGCACCGTGCGGAAGCGCTTTCCACACTCGCATTTAAAGGCGCGCTCTTTGTTATGCGTCTCCATGTGCTTGACCAGGTAGGCGGGGAACTTGAAGCCCTTTCCGCAAATGGTACACTTGTGATCGGGCGTTTTGGTGTGCGTGCCCACGTGAGTGCTCATGTTGCTCCTGGTCTTGAAGGTGGCCGGGCACAGTGGGCACGTGACCAGTCGCTCCTCCGTGTGGATGGCTCGGTGCACCCGCAGCGCCGCATTGTTGAAGAACTTGCGGTCGCAGATGTCACAGCTGACGTTCTTCTCGCCCACGTGTGTCATGCGCACGTGCATGCGCACCTGACTGGGCTTGACGAACGTCTTGTCGCAGTGCGGACACTTGGCGGCCTTCTCCTTGGTGTGCACCATTTTGAGGTGATGGCGCAGACTGGAGCCGTCGCAGGCAGCGTAGCCGCAGCCCTCCCAGCGGCAGACGTACGGCCGCTCACCCCGGTGCATGCGCTCGTGCACGCACAGCGACCACTGCGAGCGGAACGTCTTACCGCACTCGTCGCAGCGCTCCGGCTTCTCGCCCGTGTGCGTCATGTGGTGCAGCCGCATCTGGCTAGGGTACTTGAAGCCCTTGCGGCAGACGGGGCAGCGGTGCGGCCGCTCCAGTCGGTGCACCGCGTACACGTGGCGCCTCAGATAGCTGGCCAGCGTGAACGTCTTGTCGCACTGCTGGCAGCGGTGCGTCTTCTCAGCCGAGTGCAGGCGCACGTGACGTCGGAAGTCGCTGACGGCGCCGCGCAGCACCTTGGCGCAGACGGGGCAGCGGCGGCCCAGCTGGCGCTCGTGCTCCTCCATGTGCCGGTCGTAGGCTTCCGAGGAGGGCAGGCTCTTCTGGCATGCGGCGCACCGCCACGGCGTCGGCCCCGTCCGCCGGCTGGAACGCACCGGCCGACCAGACGGCGCCACTCGCCGGTCCGGGTCCGGGTCCGGCCGGGCCGGATCGTCCGGATCTGGCGGGTCCGGATCGTCCGAGTCCTGTGAGGCCGGACCGTCCGTGTCTACCGCGTCCACCGCGGACGAGTTACCCTGATCAGCTGGGTTTGCCGTGGTTAGACCAGCCAGATTGGCAGGAACCAGCGCCATGGGATAGTCCGTTTCGGCGGAGACTATAGTTATCAGATCATCTGGCGTGACGTCATCATCCGGCGGCTCCTCCTTAATTGTGCCATCCAGCGTGGCCTCCTTGATGACCCTTAGCCGTGTCATGGCTCACTGGAAATGAGATGCAATTCAGCACGAGGACCTATGACATCAGCAAAGGGAAAAACCTTTACATTTAAAATAACACTATATCCTATACCAGCTATGGCCATGGTGGTACCAGTTTATTTCAGTGATGACATTTAACAGTCCTAAACTGCAGTGTGTAATCATACATACACAGTTCATTTCTGGGATGAATTTAAATCAGGCTGCAATATCAGTAGGCCTAGCAATTACAGGATCAGTTTCAGTTAAGTGCAGTATTGATGTACAAACTCACTGAAAGGTGCAGATGGGTGGGTCTAGTGCTGATATGCTAGCAAAAATGCAGTGTCTGTCATAGGCACACACAAAATTAATTTTTGATTTACTTGCTCAGAAACAACCCTGCATCATGCTCTTGAACAACAAACCTGCAACCATATTGCCTGCATGACCTGCACGCATGCAATGCTTGGTTTCTATATAGTTTTAGCTATCAAACTCTCCTTTGCAAGACAATATCAAACAATAGCATTATCTTAAATAGAGTACCATCCAGAGAAGTGCTCTTGCTTACACCACTTGTCCCACATAGCCTCAGCCCAGACTGCAAAATATACATATTATGCAACATGTCACATGTGGCAGTAACATAACTGCAATATTTCCAGGACATGCACTGTAGCCCACATCTAGGTGCTACATCTCGAGACAATTTCTGACAAAAATGGAAAATTGAGCAGTTCGCCCAGCTTGAGCACAGCACACATAAGCATGAGGCTCAGAGCATCAATGTCCCCATACACATCCTGCAAAGCAGCCAATTTTTGCAGACTGGGTCTGACAGAGCTTGAGATTGCATTTCAAGTTTGTAAGCTGGGTTAGGAACTCCTTCAGCCCCTGCCATGAAGTCAGAGTGGATGACAGATTTTGTTGCATGCTGTCAAAAAAATTATGCTGCATCTAACACTCACTTACACTTTTATCACTGGGCATTGCTGGCTGAAAGATTAACATCACCATTTAATGCCTCTATTCTCATGAAGTTGTTGTCTATCTCCTCTAGTGGTGATGCACTGAAAAATCAAGAGCCTGATTTAGCAAACAAAGTGCACCAGTTAACACAGACACAGGCATCCAGCACCTTGCCTGGAAGTTGATGTAATCGCTGGTTTTTTATGCTGTTTTTTCCAACCCCTTCCATTCTCAAAAGGCCACTTTAAAATAAGAAACTAATATGATGATTTTTATGAAAAAGGGCATGCAGAGTACAAATTCTACAATTACCTGACGTTCTTATTCCTCTGCACATAGACGCGTTACAGATAGAAGCGCGCACGCCGTTCGAACTGGTTGTCTCAGCTAACCAGCCTCTGCCTCCTAATATAGACCTCTGATAACATCTCAAGGTTGGCCTAATTCAAAACTCGACATTTCCATCCACACTTTTACAGCCACCCTCACCGCACCACTCCACTCCCCCCCCCCCCCCCCCCCCCCCCCCCCCCAGCCCTCGAGGCCCTAGAACCACGGCCTTAACCAGCATGCCGCGGCCAAGGCCCTAGAGCATCACGGCGTCCGCAGATCCGCAACCGCCATCTATTGCACATTTTTGGAACCCTTCCTGCACGACCTGTGAAAACGTGCTTACTGACTACAATCTCACAATTCTGCGTCTGTGGCTTTGGGAAGGAATGCAGCTCGCCCACCTCTTTGAAAGTTTCAGAAAGTTCGTACATAGTGCTCATGCAGTGAGATGCGTGATATTGATCATTCGATACCCACCACCACAAAAAGGTGTCTTAACATGATTGCTCGAGAGGCACCTGCGAAGAGGAACCCCAGGCTCCTGCCATGGGTCACATACACATGAGATTTGAACGGCATGCGACAGCCAAGAAAAATTGATGAAGCGAAACAACAAAATACTCCACACACTTTGCGATGGCCATTCATTTTGTTTAGCTGTCTACCGTCCTAGTCCTTTCTGCAATGTGCAAAGCGAGTAGTTCGTGAACGTCAGTTAGAATAAAACTTCTCGCTCCTCGAGTATTTCACATGTCAACACCTTTTTGGCCAAACCGGCGTGACAGACCACCTAGGATCACGACTGAGCATTACTCGTTCCTGGATAGGGACGCAGATCGGAGCTGCCCTCCAACGTACTCTCATTCACAAGCTCCACGATTTTGAAACTGGTTTATTTACCATATGACCCCATTAAAACATTGTCAACAGTCAGTCGGCGCGGGCGCACGCTGGCGGAGCGCGCCGGCGGCCGCGGCGCGCCCTCTTGTCAGTCAGTCAGCGCCATGCGCCGGCCGGGCGCGCGCCGCCATGGCGGGACACAGTATCGCGGCAGACGGCGAGAGGAATGTGAGCGGCCTGAACATCGCGAGGGTCGCGGCCAATGACGGACGACAACAAGGTACCGGCGGCCGGAGGACCAGCGGCGCGCCAGCCGGAGTCCGCCAGCCGGCAGACGGCCGACACGGCACACGGAGCGAGGGCACAGTGGGGCGGCACAGGGGCAAACGAAGCAGTCGTTACCACGCCAACAATCAACCTACATCCGCACACCGCCGGCTACGGCTCGCACTAACATATCCAAAGCGGTATAATCTATTGGAATAACGTAAAATAGATGCGTGTTTAGGCGCGCACGGTTACTATGCCTTTCTGGATGAGGTCCATTCTCAAGGACACGCACAGCTACATCACATTTTAGGGTGCGCACGAAAAAGCGCGCGCGGCACCGGCGCCCCGCTTTGTTCACAACTCCACCCGATCCTTCCGCCCCCAACAGAGGACCCACGGCGGGCGACGGAGGGCGGGTCGGAGCCGTCTGCACGGAGCACGCATGCGCGCGGGTCCGTGTATGATTTGGTGTACACGCGCGTGTATATCACTTGACGTGTAGCTCGAGGGGGTGCTGAGAGGTCGACCACACCAGCCGGGCACCTTGCAAACCGTGCTCGCGGCTCGTGCATCCCCAACCGGCACACTAAAGCACTGCACGCGGACATCCGAGGCCGAGGTCGTGCGCCCCGCCCGGCGAGGTCGAGACGTAGCCGGAGCGCGGCCGGCCCGGCTGGAGACGCGCACCACGCGTCGAGCCAGCCCCGGAGCGACGCGACCCACCGACACCGTCCGCGGCCCATCCCCGAGCGGCGAGGCCGTGGTCAAATGCCTGATGTGGACTGCCGCGAGTCGCCGGGGCTCGGCCCGGGGCCGCATCCCCGGACAGCGCAGCGCAGATCCGGCTCTGGGGCCTCCCCGCACCGCCTCAGAGGGTGAGACTCGCGAGCGCCCGGTCCGGCAGGGTCGCTGGGCCGGCGCCAGGGCCGCATCCCCGGACAGCGCAGCGCAGATCCGGCTCTGGGGCCTCCCCGCACCGCCCCAGAGAGTGAGACTCGCGAACGCCCGGTCCAGCAGGGTCGCTGGGCCGGCGCCAGGGCGGCCCCAGCCACACCACTCACGGGCCGTCCCTGGGGGTCAGCAGCCGTCCGGAGCGGGTCCGGACGCCGGCGGCCCGCTCCCGGGGGTGCGCGCCGCTCAGGACCGCCCGCCTAGCTAGCACGTGCAGTTCTCCTTGGCGGTGGAGGCCTGCGCCGTCAGTGTGGTGCGCCCCTGCTGCGACGGCTTGTGCTGCACGCCCGACTCGGCCGCGTTGAGGTCCAGGCTGCCGTCCTGGATGTTCTGGTAGATTTTCTTGGCCGTCTCCAGGAACGCCTCCTCCACGTTGTTTCCACTGCGGCGGGGATCGGAGGCTCAGCTAAGAGGGCGGCGACGGGCAATGGCGGGCACCACACACAGTCGGCGGCAAACGCGCTAAACCGCTGAGCGTAAGACCTCGGAATCAACACAAGAACCTCTAGAACCATAAACCGAACCGGTACAATTTGCGACACTTGCCCGGATACATACATGACACCAAGCAGGTGCGATTTACGTAACCCACACAGCAACAGGTTCCAAACACTACAATCGACGTCAGCGGTTGGCTTTCGCCAACACGGTTATCCCAGCCAGCTTGGGAGAGGCGCATAAAGCGCGTCGCGTGCGGTCCGCAGGTGGCCACGTCTCACGTTTTGGCACTGGCCTCGACGAACATGAGACCGTTCTCGTCGGCGAACTGCTTGGCCTCGTCGTAGGTCACGTCTCGCTGCGCCTCCAGGTCACACTTGTTGCCAATCAGGAATATCACCTGCCGAGCGGTGCGCCAGGTCAGGAAAGCCCGCGACCAAGACGCGGTCACACGTGCCATTAATGTTTTCAATGTTTGTTTTTGACATTAGCAAAGAACATGACCAAAACGTCGCTCTGGTAAACAATGTACGCCGCACGTCCACACACAAACTGACAACGCAACTGCACAAACAGCGCGGCACGCACCACATGACCACATGAGGTGATCAACTGCACTGGACACGATCCCCTGAGACGGCCGCAGCCACCGCAGAGGCGCGTCCGGCCCGGCCGGCCGGGCCCTCCCCCGCCCCACCCGGCGCGCGGCCGTCACCCACCGTGTTGGGGTTGGTCAGGTTGCGCGCGTCCGTCAGCCAGCTGCTCAGGTGGTTGTAGGTGGAGCGCCGCGTGATGTCGTACACCATGAGCGCGCCGGCCGCGCCGCGGTAGTACGACCTGGCGGCGCCGGCGGCGGTCAGCGCGCACACAACACCAGCACCCAGACGACAGGCGGCGACGGTGGCCGGACTGGTAGCGCCGCAGCGCTCCACAAGCGCACGTGGTCGCCTGATCGATAAACCAGCCGCCGGCGGCAAGGACGGCTTCAAGGCCGTAACACGCCGCTCAGATGAAAACCGATCTCCTGAAAGCGTGGCCCGGAGGGATCAGTCCAGTCACGCCACTAACGGCCGTGTGCGAGCGGGACCATCTGGCGACAGCGTATGGCCTGACCGCCGGCCGGGCGGTGTGGGCGGCGGGTCTGACCGTCGGCACGGCAGTCTGGGCGGCGGGCCTGACCGCCGGCCGGGCGGTGTGGGCGGCGGGGGCGGCGCGGTCAACCGGGGACCGCGTCTCTGAGTACGACCACGGCAGACAGCCTCTGCGCAGGACTGGGAACGGGCCTGCCGGGAACCTCGCATGGGGCAAACTCAGGATACACTGTGTACTAGCCCGGCCGGCCGGGGGCGGTGCCTGTCTCTCCGCCAGCGGTGACGGCACACTGGCCCGGCCACGTCAGGTCACAAGGCTGGCGGGGCACACAAAACTGGCCTGGCGACACCAGAATGACCCGGCCACGTCAGGTCACAAGGCTGGCGGGGCGACGCCGGACTGGCCTGGTGACACCGAACTGACCCGGCCACGTCAGGCCACAAGGCTGGCGGGGCGACGCCGGACTGGCCTGGCGACACCGAACTGACCCAGCCATATCAGGTTACAAAGCTGGCGGGGCACACAAAACTGGCCTGGCGACACCAGACTGACCTGGTGACACCGCCCATCACGACGTGACGCCTATGCCAGCGCGACGTGACTAAAATGGTGTCGGAAGACTGGCCAGGCTGCTCGACTGACTAACCAGACTCGGATGCATTGGAAGTAGCAGCCGGACGACCAGTTAACGTTAAAACAGTTCCTTCTTTTTATTTCTTTTGGTGTCTCCTGTACCGACGTGCTATGCCATAAATAGAACGTACTTTTGCAAGAGTCCGTGATGGAAATGATGAGTGCTTTCTGGTAGATCTCTTTATCTGTTGCACTACTGCAAATATACGATGAACATATCATGCCAAAGAAAGAGCTAAAGGCCAGTCTTTCTGTGCCAAGTTGTGTATTACTTGTTACAGCAATGCACATGGCAGCAATCCCATTGTAAAATTATCACATACATTGCAGTTATTTATTTCCGTCACACCCGACCCACCCTTCGACACTTAGCCTGCCCCAGAAACACCTGGACGGACCCGTTAACATAGGACCGGTCCCACCACATGGGACCACTCTGGTGACGCCCAACTGGTCACATGACGCCAGACTGACATCACGCCACCAGACGGACTCGGTGACCCCTGACCGACCTGGTGACGGCCCTGAAGCGCTCCTGGCCGGCCGTGTCCCAGATCTGCAGCTTGATCTTCTGGCCGCTGACCTCGATGATCCGGGTGCCGAACTCGACTCCGATCGTGTGCGGACAGTCGGCCATGACTGGGGGCGGGGCCTGATCTGTCTGACCTGGACACAGCCCGACCTCCACCGACACGGCAGCGCGGTCGTCTCCAGCTCAGCGACAGTGCGCGCTTACGACATTGTGCTGTCGTGCTGCCGTGGTACGACTCACGGAGTGCAATGGTTTACGATCATCAGACAGACAGCACGGACATGTAATGAGCATTGCTATAACTAGTGTTTGGCACACCACAAATCAGATGGTCCCACAGAGTGAGATGTTGATCTTGAAAAATGTTAAGACCAAAACACTCGCCACAGACATCCTGATTTTAAAGCATATGTCTGCATGTTTGCTAGTACATACATTTCTTTTCTGTAAACTGGTGGAGAAGACAGGACTTTCCGACGCCCATGTCTCCTATTATGATATACTTGAAGATGTAGGAATAGTTGTATGGACCTGCCGCCATGTTGAAAGAAGTGTTCAGATATCCAGACTGTAAAACAGGAACACATGTCATCATTCAGTAATGGCATTTGCTGGTTAAATTGAAATTACTGGTTTAGTGGCATACTGGTTAAATGCCATCATGGCATTCAACCAGTAGGCTTTGTTGTCATGCCAGAAATTACAGTAACACATTTCCATCATGTAATTCTGGATATCTTCTCAGTCAAGTCTCATTAGCAACAGATCAGAGCTTAGCATTAGCAACATTAGCATAATGTAACAAAAAAAAAAAACAGTCAAGCCACCAGTACCACATTCTGCAGCCAAGACTGTTTAAAATATCAACATCTTGTATCATATTACTTCTTTGTACATCTAAGCCTTTCCTTAGTGGTGCTTATCTATCAATCGTGATATCAACTTTGGAAGCCTCTGTTTGAAGCATGATACACATGTAGGCCCTAAAGTCTTTTATGAGACCCCTATACCCCATTTCTGTTTCCAAGGACCCTCTCTAGAACACTTGGGACTTTCACAATTCAAATATTATACTGACATTTCTCCTGTGGCTAAAAATATCCAGCCATTTTTAATGCTCAGCTATTTCTAATGCTCAGTTATGTGCGATGTTCAGCAGCATTCTAGTACCCCTTTCACAACGTAGTTTTGCATTACCTTATGGGCAATGCAAGGTGAATCAGGTTAGGTCCAGACATGATCAGGTGAGGGCTTGATAAGGTGAGACCTTGGAAGATTGAATGGGCCCTGCTTAGGGCTCATGAAAAAGCCCACTGGATACCAACATCACTCTGGGAATTCCTATATTCTTCAGTCTCTTTAATTCTCAAGTAAACCTTGGGTGAAACGATTCTACTCATCAGGTTTTTGCAACACAGGCCAAGATTGGCCCAAACTCACAGTTGTTGTACAAGTTCCCTGAAACTACCCAACTAACTTCCTCAATATCAAATAAAGCTCTGGTCCCACCTCTGACAATGCAAGCAGGCACTCAAAGCTGAGCTTTCAATCCAATCAGTTCTGATTATAATTCTAGTCTCTATTAAAGCATGAGTTACTTTAAAAAACAAACACTTAATCCTAAACCTTTTTTATGACAGGTTTCTGGGATCACAGCTCACACTAAGCAGTGCTTGCTGTGAGAGCCCGGACTCCTACCATGTGATCTCACAAATCCGCGCTCTGACGCTATCTGACCACACTGCGGCTGCAGGCCATGCCTGTCAAGGCCAAGACCAAATAGCGAGGAGCTAAGGCAGCTCGATCTCACGACGCAATGAGTGGGCGGACTGGAAGGCAGACACTAATCAACTAAGCCATCCAAGCCATTTAGGCAATGTAAAAGTTAGCAAATTTAAAGGGCTTTGAGTATGTTTTGTAATATCTTAAGATAAAAAACATGAGTAGAGAGTTTTCCCCATTAACAACAAATGATGTAAAAGATTTGTTTAAGAGGACCACTTCCCATGATCCTGAAACCATAAATGAATGCTGTGCAGGAACATGTAGACAGGTTCTGGATTGATGCTGACTCCTCATCTCCAACCACTATTTGAAGCACTGTATTTCTGAACCCAGGATCTTCAATGACTAAAAGTAGTTAGCAAGGTCAGGAGTGGTTTTGAACTGAGCTTTACCAAATATTTTATATTTTCATTTACAACACAGCTAGGTGACAAAAGCCCCCCCATAATAGGAGTGGTACAGAAAAGTTTTTTAACAGATAAAATATGCAAGCTCTCTGAAAGTTAAGGGTTCAGCCCCTCCTTGCCCCCCTCCCCACCATTTTCACACCCATGCACCATTAAACAAATCCTTTGAAGAGAAGGCAGCATGCCCAATGTGTAATTGAAGGTAAGTGACTGTTTCACCATCCATGCCAACTTCTACCCAAAATGCAGCAGTCACCAGCAGAAACCCCACCTACAAAACACCAGCAGGCTTTACTCTCAAGGCTGTCAGCCCATATAAGCTTTCCTTGGGCTTTGATAGCTGAAGCACACATCTCAGGCTATGCCAGTGGGAGTGTGTTATTGACATTAATTTTCAGCCACATACTTTACCCACTCATATTTTAAGTTAATTGACATTTTCAATGGTTTGTTTCATGTTAATCTAGGGTTTATGCCATGCATTACTTTTAATTCAATGCCACTATGCACATCACCAACATGCTGGGACAAAAACAGCATGCAGAAGACCTATGGAATTGATAATCTATGCTCTAAAATGCTGAAATCACTATTTTGTAAGCAGCAAGTGGAAAAATAGGGCTTCATGTAGAAAACAAAACCTTAACTGCATGCACATGCTTCGAGTTGCTGTCAGATATGCTGGCTTGGGTAAAATTTGTTTGATAGTTAGCTTTGAAATCTTGTTATTAACCATGTCCATGTCATGATGTACATGCAAGTGCAGCTGCTTCAATAAGTTAATATAACATAATAATGTAATAATATCACAAATAATAAGACACCATTCATATGGTACCTGTTCATCTTTTGAGCATGCCTTCCAGCTGGTGCTCAAACAGAATGCAAAATGGAAAATGGAAAATGAGTACACATCCATAGAACATACATTTTTATCATTTCAAGTGTAAATTTACATGTATTGATAGTTCATAGTCCATAGTTTAAAGAGCTTGGGAGGATAACAATATAAAATGCAATCTTAAAATTTAAAAACAGTCTGGGAAGAAAAATAGTAGAGCACATGCATTTTAAGAAGCAGATGTTGAGCCATATTTTCTGTATGCTGGTAACTGACACTTGTTTTACACTTCTAAAGACCCCCAACCAGACAAAACTGGCTGGGAGGCATGCCATAGTCACAACAGAAATGTAGGTACCTGGTGTGATAAAAAATCAAAAACCTTAGTAGCAAAAGGCCACTATGTGCATAAAATAAGTCTGAGGGGTGCACCCCAGGTCCCAGGGGACACACAGTCACAAAGTGCACCTACTGGCTACTGGGCTGTGTCATTGCAAAAACTTATCAGATAAACAATTGCAAGAGTTCCAACATATTCTTGGTTTTATTGGCAAATTGTGTACATCTTGTACTCCAGCAGATGCATTGGATGTAATTCATGATGCTCATGCACAGAATGAAAAAGCAAGCTACATTTAACATGTCTGGGTAGTAAGCCACATCCTGGCTATAGTCTTAGGCAATTCACCCACTTAATCCAATGCCAAGGGTTTCATGGATGGTCACCATCAATTCCTGCACACAGAGCCAATGCCATGAAGACTTAATAATCAAAATGATACTTGAGGCAAGAGCACCCAAGAAATATTTTTCTTAGCTTGGTAATATGGCACAACTTGGTCTGGCCATTGTTTGGTGCACACATACACACACATTATGTTCAGAACACTATGTCAGGCAAGTGTGAGAGCCAGAAGATAATTTGCCTGCATCTTGGCCTAAAAGCATCTGAGTTTACGATCTTGCCCACAGTGTCTCCCACTGTAAAATGCTTTCAGAACTCTTGACTTCCACCTTTTAGGCAGCTTACAGCCCACTGACGGACAAGGACGAACTACAACAAAGACTACTAAACACCCGTGCAAAAACAGCAAGGATAAGCAGACAGCATTGCTACTCCAGGTATGCTGCGTCCTCGCAAAATATATCCTGGTGAACACTAAAGCATTACATCTTTTTCGTCACTTGAATTCTTGATCCAGAGCAATTTTTCACTCACAATTCCAAATTATACGCCCCTATTCCAACCCGAACAACCTCAATTTATGTACAGCAGCGCCATCCAGACGCTTTTGTCGTAAATAAGCCCTTCGCTACGGAAGCGCTATTTATCAGGTAAACGTTGTCAGCTGATAACACTAGGCGAGCTTTCATGACAAATGTTCTGCATTTTTTCTTCATGTTACTCGAGTTGAATGTTGAGTCGTCACTTGTGAGGTCTTAGAATATACAAAGCTATTATAAAACGAACACATCTTGTGTTCTTTGACATATCTTGGGACTTAAGCATGTTAGCTGGCATGGAAAGGTGGAACGAATCGAGATGTGTCGTAAACGTCGCGTCGAATGGGCACCCCTCCCAACGAAACAACACGGCCAAATGCAACGCACAACGCACAATTGACTCCACGAACGTGGAACTTGGTTGCTGTGGTTGGGGGGTCAATGGTGTGGGTTAAACGGCATTAGGCCGACAGGTTCCGGCATGGTGGGATAAACCAGGTAGAAATGGTGTCTTTTTTCGTCATGAAATGGCTGAATTTTTGTTGTCACTTGATGTTAGATCTTTTTCCGTTGCATAGAAAAGTCCTGTAATATCGTTACAGTGAACTTAAAAACTGTGTCAACTTGCACGATATAATAGTTCAGTGGGAACTGCATTGAATATTCTGCTAGCAGAAGCACTCACAAGTTCTCTATTAATGTGTCAGGAAAGCCTCAGTTTGAATCTAGCCCTTAATGTCAAGTTTCAACCATCTGTATGTAAGGGTTGGCTGTTAATGATTACTGTGTTTCTTGTCATGCAGTAACATGGAGCCAATGCCATTTTCCAAAGGATGTGCTCAGTATGCTTGCTTTCTCTCCTGTCCTGCCATCCCTGGTCCATGTCATGCAGGCTGCTGTCCATGATGTGTGCACAAATCAAGCATGTGCATGCTTTCTCCAATTAGATAGTAACCAAAATAGTAATGCAGAAATACTTCTCAATCTTGCATCACAACTCTGTCAATTATGCACTTGATATTGATGTATGCAGTGCTATTTTGCTTTATATTACAAAAATTTGAAGCCCTCAAACTATCAGGTGCTATTATTTTCACAGTTAATGTGGTGTGCTGGGATGTCCTGTACCACATTAACTGCTCACACAGTTAATGTGGTGAAATGGTGGTGCTGATAGTAATAGTGTAATTGGCAAAAGGTAACAAGGGAAGCTGCACTGAGTTGATCATTAGTGTCTGTAGAGAACAGAATGCTTTTGATTGGATGAGATGTGATGATGAATGCTTTTTATGACATGGTATATGAATATTAATGTTTTCTATCAGATGGCATGTGTCAGGGCTTGGTTAACTGTTCTGGGCATTGCACCACTGTTCACACATCCTTGCATATACTGTGATAATTCCACAAATGATAAAAGTAATTTGAAGGTCAAGATCAAATTTGTCTCTGCTAGGAAGTACAATGATTGGTGTGTGCTCAGGGGTGCCAATAGTGTCATGGTTCAGCTGCATTTCTGTGAAATTGGAGGTACAGGTTTTAATTTCCTGTAGTCCACACCCTTCCTGCTGGGCTCAGAGGCAGACAATGTCATATAGCCTCAGCAGCCGAGTTTGTTGTGATACACCAATGGCAAAGGTGTGCTGAGGCCAGGTTAAATCTTGTAACATGTCTTTAAATGATGAATCCATGGGCCTGTTGGTGATCATGCTAACAATATTCTCTCATGAAGGTAAAATATTCTGTCAAAAAAGTATGTGATGTGGAAGTAGGGTTTTGCCTGCATGTGGCAGATATGTGAATCTTGGGTGTAAACTAACCTTCCAACTTCCCCAAAAAAGAGAGGTTTTAATTGATAATCTCTGACTGGCTGGCATATTAAAGATCTCAAAACTTGCAAAAGGTCTCTTTTACAAAAAGACAAACCCTATATAACTTTGTTATGTAAACTATTAAAGTGTGTATAGGTTATACTGGGAGAGTTTAGCTCATAATGCCTGTTTTGAAATAATAGTACTTGTAGCTCAAGCTCATGGTTGTTTGTTGTCTCATTTTTAGAACCACAGGTACACAAAAGCAAGGATGAAAGCACAAGCAGTTACAAAATATGGAATGAATAGCTCCATTCAACAATAGTCATTAATCTACACATGTATTTATAACATGTAGGCTTATGTTGAGAGGTATGCTTCATTTATTGGTGTATCAAAATGAACTTAAGCTCTTAGCATGTTACACCCCTGCATATATCAACCATGGGTTTGACTCCAACAAAAAGAAGTTTGGGGCCATTGGGGACAACCCATGCTCTGACATAGCCAACACATGTGCAAGCCACTACTAAATTAAAAGTATTTCCACATGCTGGTCAGTGTTTCAATATTTGGCCACTTGGCTTCCTGGGATGTCAAAACTGTTCATGCACCCCTGGCTTGTGATTCACTGCCTATTGATCCTTCTCTTGGTTAAGATGGGCCAATCAGCATCAACCCAGGTAGTGGACCACCAAGCATCTTTAACAAAATCAGCTGGGCATGTCATGTGTAAGGGATTACAGTTAAATGTTGTTTGAAATAAGCAGTCAATAATGGTTGCTTAAAAACTAGAATTCTGGATGTATGAATGTATATATCCCCCCTGCATACATAACTGCATGATTTTTATGCTGACACCTTTCAATATGCAGTTATTTAGATATTAACCATCCTGGGCCCATGTTTTAGAAAAAAGCACACATGGGCTCAGGAACTATGAGTATATGGATCCAATTTTGACTGATGAAGGAATTCAGTCACATTATGCTGATATTTTGCATCATGCACCAACATAATTGGCTCAAGCAAAAGCAAACATGTACATGTGATCTGGGCAAATGCTTTGAGAAGAGGTTTTCCTAGTTCTCAAGCTCTAAAAAGCACTCCAAATGTGGATCTGGTTGGAGTCCCTTGAGCACATTTGCAAGTAATCTTGATGGCCAGCAACACATGCACGAAATACATGCTGATGCCAACTGTGATGTTTTTAGCTGTCCTCATCTGGCTCATCACAGTTACATGGCATAAATCTTGTCTGTGACACTGTTAGAAACCACTTGTGACTCATGACTCACAAGAATATGCAGCATGGTAATATTCCTGGCACATGGCGCCTGTAGGCCTCTGCTCCGCTGGCCCAGCACCTGTCAGTGTCAGCAGGCCATGACGGGATCACTGACGGCGTTCGGCCCGTGCTGGCAGACGACAGCACTGCGGCGGGCCGACGCAGGGGCGGCGGCAGCGGCCGTGACGGGCGGCGCCATGCCGATCCAGGGTCCACAGTGGACCGAGTTCCTCACCTGCCCCATCTGCTTGTGGGGCTTTAACCGCGAGCGCGGCCCCGTCAGCCTCAGCTGCGGCCACACCATCTGCAAGGCATGCCTACAGGAGCTGCACAGGAAGCGCTGCCCATTCGACCAGGTCTGTCGGCGGCGCCGCCCCCTGGCGGCTGGTGGGTTTTCAGACCGTGGCGTGTCGGCGTACGGGCACGTCTGCCGTCTGTCGTCCACGGCTGATGGCAGTCTTAACATGCGTCTGGGTGGCAGGCTGGATACCCTTTGCTCGTGTGGGGGAGGGGGAGGTCATTTTGACCCCCGCCCCCTGAGATCTCGGGAACTAAGAAGGCTAGAGACACCAAATTGACAAGGTGTGTTGACCTGTATGTGAACTCATTTCGATCAAAGTTTGAGGTTCCTTAGTCATGACGTTGAGGTCAAATAGGTCAAACAAGATCAAACTCCAGGTTGGTCTCCAAAGTGTCCCCAGAACCTAGATAACCATTTCTAAGCAAATGTTCACATGCACACTTAAGGTTAGTGGCCCTGTTTAACCTCGTGAAGGTCATGTTGACCAGAATCATACAAGACTGTTTTGAGTTTTGCATTGGAATGATTGACAAAGATTATGCTAGGCAGTATGTTTCTAAAAACAAAATGTTGACCTGGGTCATTTTAGGTCAATGACCTAGTCTGACCTCTAAGAAGTCCATGGAAGATGTGAAATGCGGTTCCTGCGATCAATAAATTCGAAATGAGCACCAGAAACTGTTCCATACAGCAAAGCCCTAAAGTAATGAAACATGTTGGTTTTGACCTTGGTGTGACCCTCATACCTGACCTTAGGTCAAGTTAATTTGCTCATTCAATTGTTTTGTTGCCTAAGAAAGCATCTCAGAGATGTGTGGCTTCGTCTAACACTCTACTAACACTCTACACTAACATGTCTAACACTCTACTGAGATATTGGATCAGATTGAATGATTCCCTAGAAATTGCCTTTGCTGCAACCATGACCTGACTTCGACCTACCATAGGTCAGCGACCTCACAAGATACGTCTTAATTTTTGATGCCAGACGATCCTCTATTCAATTGTCTACAGCTATGAAAAATTTGGCGCTGCTGCGCCGCGCCGTTCGGAAACCATTGTGGAAAAACCTTCGGGGGGTCAGTTTGACCCCCCCCAAGTGCGTGTTAACCGAAGTCCTCGGTACTTGAAGTCTTCATTTAGTTGTCCACAGTGGCCTCTGGCTATCATTAGTGGTTCTCACACTGCTGAGGGTAAGGAATGACATAATGGCTGGTAGTCATCCCCCAGAGGGTAACATTTGGTTGTCATTAGGAGTTCTGACACTGCTGAGAGTAAGGAATGACATACGGGTATATAGTTATCCCAAGGGGGCGACAGTTGGCTGTCATGAGGGGTTCTCACACTGCTGAGAGTAGGGAATGACATAATGGTTCACAGTTGTCTCCAGAGAGGTCACAGTTGGCTGTCATTAGTTGTTCTCACACTGCTGAGGGTAAGAGATATTGGGGCACTCGTCGCCAGACTGTGACGATGTCGTGCGTCCCCGGATGGCGTCATGGTACCAACTGAGCTGGTGACTGGGACTTGAGAGCCAGACTTGGGTGTGCTCCGTTGGTCAGGTGGCACTCGATTGGTCCGTACCTCACGACGTCCGCCGGACCGGACCAGCTCCTCTCACGTGCCTACGCTCGCCAGAGTATGGAAGGTGGTAGTCGTGTCTGTTCTGAAGATCTTGTGGTCGTATTTCTGGGGTAGAGCGGTCTCTGTGGCCAGCTTGGTGATGTACGGGCGATGAGGTGATGCATGTTTTAGTCCGTTACCGGACTATGTGTGGTGTCCATTTCGGCGGTTGGGTGGTGTCTGCTTTTTTGTCAGTGACTTGAGTGGCCTTCTGTTTTGCCTGTGGCTTGAGACCTGGATGAAGTTGCTGTGAAGTGTCGTGCATCAGGTGTGATGTTTTAAAACTGCTCTTTTCAGCAACTTTGTTCTCTACTTGATTTCATGTTTTATGTAATGTTCAGTCATGTTAAGGTCATGTCTAGCCATGTTTTACGCTTGTTCTGCATGTATGATGTCTGTCGATGTATCACATAAAGCAGCCTGTGTGGTCACTTCATCAGTCATGTGGGTATGCAATATGCAAGCATGACCAGGTTCTGCTGTGTGTATCTGTGCCGGAGTTGGTGACGAGGTTCGCTATTTTCTATTGGTCGGTGACCTAGCAGCATGGTTTCGTAACCAAGTTCCAACATATATAAGCCAGTGATCAGAGAATGTCTACAGTGTTCGAGTTCTTGGACGAGTGTCTTGGTATCGTCGATATCTTGGACGGGCCTCACGTCACCGCTGGTGCCGCGTTGATGCGTTATGCATTGGTGTTCTCGCATTACCTTTCAGTCGGTGACTGAGGCGTTCTTGAATTGTTTCGTTGGGTGATCAGGTTCGACCTGGACCAGCTGCCGCCCAGCTGGGCGCTGCTGCAGCTGGTGACGACCAGATGACGTGTTTCAGTCGGTGATCGGGCTGGACCTGGACCAGCTGCCGCTCAACTGGGCGCTGCTGCAGCTGGTGACGACCAGATGACGTGTTTCAGTCGGTGATCGGGCTGGACCTGGACCAGCTGCCGCTCAACTGGGCGCTGCTGCAGCTGGCGACGGCCAGATGACGTGTTTCAGTCGGTGATCGGTGCTGGACCCTGGACCAGCTTGCCCACAGGCTGGGCGCTGCTGCAGCTGGTGACGGGCAGCCTGACTTGTTTCAGTCCGGGTGATAGGACGGGACCTGGACCAGCTGCCGCTCAACTGGGCGCTGCTGCAGTCCTGGTGACGGCGGGGCGATGTGCAGCGGCCGGCGGCGCCGCCGCTCAGCCTTGCGCCGCCCCACGGAGCACCCAGGCCTACCTCAGCGCCATTTGCCCATCGAGGAGCTGGCGCTGTTCCTGAAGCCGCTCCCAGTCCCGGTAAATCAGCCTCACCCAGCACGCCGCACCGTGCACGCGCTCTGGCGCAGGGCGCTGTCCGATGGGTGCTACTGAAGGAGCGAAATTCTTGCCGCTTTGTGTTGAATAGTTGTTGATTCAGGTGTGTTTCAGATCATTGGGCACTGGCGGTTTTAGATGTGGCCTGCGGTCGCGCCGTGCAGTTCTAACATTTGACAGCTGTCAGTCAGTGATGACTTGTTCTTTTCTGTGGCTTAAAAGTTTATTCTTCATCCTGAAAGGACATTTGTTTGTTTTGGTGTTTGCCCAACTTAGATAAGACACCGTACTCTTCTGAGAAAAACCCGGAGAATGGAGGTAGAGATGCGTTGATATTTCGGCAACATGCCTTTATCGAAACAGTAGCAGAAGTGAATATTCGGTTCACGCAAACAATTCATTTCTGCCATTGTTTCGATAAAGGCATGTTGCCGAAATATCAACGCGTCTAAATCTCCCTTTTCCTGGTTTTTCTTCAAGCAATAAGGCTATTACTTCTGTGTTATCTGTGTGAAAAAATGTCCCTCGCCCTTGCACTTTACAACTAACATAAGTTTGTGCAACTTCTTGAATCAGCCGATTCACTTGTGCAGTGACCAGCTCTGGATCTAGACCGTACTATTGGCATTCAACCAAAATTTTGTGTGATGTCTCCAGGCTGTGGCTGCCATCAGCACCGGGTACCACATGCACCGGTTACACATTTACACTGCAAACGCGCCAAGCTGACCGCGGCTCTGCCTGCCGGCTGTCCCCTAAGCTGAGCTCCCTCGTCTGCCGGTCAGGTGGCGGGTCGGGCGGCGGCGCGGGCGGCCCCAGCGTACTGTCGCGCTCCATGCAGCGTAAGCTGGTGACGATCGTCACGTGCCAGCTGCTGGAGCCGGAGGGGCGCAGCCGCGTACTGCGCGCGTGCCGCTCGCTCGGAGAGCGCACCGTCACCGAGCTGATCCTGCACCACCAGAACCCGGCGCAGCTGTCGGCCAATCTGTGGGCAGCCGTGCGCGCGCGCGGCTGCCAGTTCCTCGGGCCTGGTCAGTAGGGACGCGGCCCGGGCTGGGGCATTGCACGGCGTCGGCCGTGTCAGGGGTTGGTTTGGGCGAAACTTCATTAAGTCTTCTGAAAGTTAGTGCTCATGACCCAGGCGAGACGTGATGCGAGTTCTGGACCCTGTGCGTTTAGCGCTTTTACAACGATTGGAGCTGTACCAAAGCATTGAACAGCAGAACGCTTGGCGCGGTGCTAATGCTTCTGTGTTGTTTTTGTCGCCGATTTCCCACATTTGTCGTCGCTCACGGCGTGGTTCCGCTGGCGCGCGCTGACACACCTCGTGCCCCTCGCAGCCATGCAGGAGGAGGTACTGCGCCTGGTGCTGCTGGCGCTGGAGGAGGGGTACGCCCTCTCGCGCAAGGTGCTCGTCATGTTCGTTGTACAGCGGCTGGAGCCGCACTTTCCGCAGGCGTCCAAAACCAGCATCGGCCACGTTGTTCAGCTGCTGTACAGGGCCTCCTGCTTTAAGGTCAGTCCCTGCCGGATGGAGCGACCGTTGGAGCGTTGCATGCTTGCATAATCAATCCGGCGTTCGAAGATCATCAGCATTTAAAGCATCCGTGCATTGCCCTGCACGAACCAGTACGGCGTTTCACTTCCGAAGGGTTCACGGCCAGGGCCGAAGCACGTGCTCCTCGCGACCGTCCATACCAAGGTCGGCTCGGTGGCATGCACGGCTCTGCTCTTCGACGTCCCATGTCGTGCTGTGTGCCCGCCGGGTGCGGTGGTGGCGTGCCGGAAGATGACGGTGCGCCGCCTGTGCCGGGGAATGTGGTGCGGCCGGTCTCGCCGGCGGCAGATCACTCGATGACTGCTGCTTTATGGCCGCCGCGCAATCGTAACTGGAGTTTTCCTCTCATTGTTCTGCTATTTGCGCCTCTGAGGTGGCACGGAAGGCTGAAAGCCCAGTTGGGTCACAGCCAGATGGCACGGTGCTCTCAACGAACACGGTGAAAGTGCTGGACCCTGTTGCTCTTCGTCACGACGACCAGCGGGGGACTCGCGCGCCATTGGCGGTGTTCTCCGCTGTGAAGCAGCCTGCGCATCGACGGCCACGTGCTGGGGGATTCCCTCGGTGTTAGCGTCGTGCTCCGTGCCCTCGCAGCGTCGCCACGTGTAAGGTCCGCTCCGGGAACTGTGGTGTTTCCATCCAGCACTACCCTGTACGCGTTTCTTGCCACTGCGAGGAAGTGACACCGCGGCATGAGCGATTCTGCGTATTGGTAATGCCGTGTCTTACTGCCCGCCCATATCGGCAGTAACTCAGGCGGTTTTTGCTGCTGCCTGGTGGCTTTTGTCATGACGACATCGCGCTCTGCTGTTCTGGGGCCCCTTGTTCCCCATGTCTGGATGCTTCGAGATAGCGTCCGGCGTTGACATTATTGGCGCCAGACGGCGAGTTGACTAGGCGCTGGCTAATGCCCGCATGATGCTTCTCGCTCTCAGTTACGCTACTTCCCTTGCTCGCTCCTCTCCGGCTTGGCGGAAGCAAATGAGCCAGAATTCACGCATTCACAGCCAGCATTTTGACTGCGAATGTGCTGTAATTCAGTGTGTGCGTAAGGTGGGGCGGTGAAGGCTAATTTGTATGCAGTACTTGGCTTACGGCGGGCAAAAATTCTGCGGAAATTGCGGCAATAACAGCTGCTTGAAATATTTGTCATAACTAGCAAATAACTAGCTTTGTCTTCACAAACAATAATCATTTTAGCAATGCTTTATCGAGTAGCGCCGGGACACTGAACGAAGCTAAGGCTGGAGCGTTCTCGGTCTCTGCCCGTTTTCGGGCTAGGCTAGCGGCTTATATGGTAGCGGTATCTCGGGTCAGTTATGAGCCGAGGCGTCCAGTCTATTCTTGTATAATGCTTTGCAACAGTGTGAGAACTCTGACCAAGAGACTGCAGTAATATGGTGGAGATCCGACAGATTCTCGATGGGTGTCGAAAGAACGAGAGCCACCGTCCGTGGGACGTAGCGCCTGGGGAAGTTGGTGACTCACTGGCGATCGTTATCCCGCTATTCCATTGAATGAGAAGGCAATCGGATTACGCCCAGCTGGTTTGGGACTTTTCCAGCGGCGATACTCGCGCCCTGACTCGTTCGGGGTGGCCCGTTTGGTGTCGGCGAGACAGGCTGCCAGCTGATGGACGCCCGCACCGGCGCCCGGTCTGCGGCCGGGACGCTGGGGCTTTTCACCAGGATTAAGGTGGGCCATTCTGGCCGCTGAAAGCTGCGGTCTTCCCTTGGTGATGCCGCGTGCATGGGCCGTGCCGAAAACCGGTATGAGCTAAAGACGTGGTTTATTGGTATGTAAAAATGTTTTGTTTCGCTAGCGAAGGTCCCAGGGTGCTCTTGTTGCGTCATTTTATGGGGCGCTCACCTTGCTGTGGGCTTAAATGGTTGATTTTTATACCTGTGGTATGGGACTGGATGTGTCCCTGGAAACTGATGAAAACCATGACATTTGGGTACAGCTTTGACCGGGGGAATAAACGCCGTTGGAGTGACCTGACACTTATTCATGCGCGCGCTGCTACCGAGCGTGATACATATGGAAGAAGAACGCGCCCCTAAGCTCATCTCAGGCCGTTAGTCTTAATAACAAAACGCCGACCTACGTCACGCGTTTTTGGCCGCTGACAGCCCCTTCCCCATCCCCTCCCCCTTTAACGGAGCTCACGGCATTAGCGCAGAAGTCATCTTGCGGATGGGTGGTCGGTGCACGCACTGAGGGGCAGTGTTCGTGTTCGGTGAACGTTTGCAGCATGGACCTGGCTGCAGTATGGCGCACCTAACGCGGCCCGAGCTGGTCAGACCTGATCGGACCTTTGACCCGGAGACAAGGTCAGTGACGTGAGCACTGAGCCGCGGCGATGTGCGCAGTAGCCGGCTTTGCAGCGGCGGGATGTCGAATAGCATGTGCTCCTGTTCAACTGTCGTGAAGGCCGGAGCAGTCGAATGGCTGCCTGCGGCCCACGGCACGCAGATTATTACTGTAGGTTACTGTCTAGAATCGGCGCCCTCCAGGCGTGGTCATATCCACGGTAGCGAAGTGAGACTCACCAGACCTGGTCAAGGTAGTCCTCCAGTGAGGCCGCCGCACCCGTGGTCATATCCACGGTAACGAAGTGAGACCCACCGGACCTGGTCAAGGTAGTCCTCCAGTGAGGCCGCCGCACCTGATCTGTCCGACAGCGGCGTGCGGGTGTTGTACCCGAGCGGGTCCACCGTCCTGTGCGTGGACCGCCAGCCCGTGCCTGGTCCCATGGACTGGCCGTGAAGCCCGCCGGACCTGACGCGTGGCCGTGAGGTCGGTCAAGCTCGGCCGGGCCGCTGGCCCGCCAGTGAGCTTCGCCTGGCGCGATCACGCTCGTGCTCGGTTAGTGAGGCCTTCGACTCGCTGACCGCGTCCGCCAGTCGCCGAGACCGTCACACCCGAGGTTCTCCAGCCCAGCTGTGAGGCCCTCTGACCTGATCAGGCGGCCCCTCAGTCTGGCGGCGGGGCTAGTGGCCAGCCGCGTGGACGACGCTCCGCGCTCCGGGCTGGGCCGGACGGTGCTGCCGGCGGCGGCCATCTGACGTGTTCGACGCCAACTGCGGCGCCGCGAGAGGCAGTGGCAAACCGGTCTGTTTTCTTTTTTTTGTTGCTTCGATTGATACGATCGGAAGCTGGAGGTGCCATCTGGGGCTGCCGCAGGCTACGCTCGTCCACCCGAGAGCCGTGTGCTGTCCGGACCTATCGCACAGCTCGAGGTCGTGTTCGCTCCGACTGATTTGTCGAAATGTATTTGAGCAGTTGGAGCGCTAGCCCATCTTGGTTGTACCCGGTCGCTGGGGCAGTGAAGGCAGTGCCATCGAAGGCGGTAAGAATGGTGTGCGTCATGTATGAGCTGCGGAAGCCCACTGCTGCTGATGAAATGGCTGGCACTTGATGTATTTTTCGTAACATTTCCAGCGTTTTGCAAGCGGCGGCGGATATTCGTGCCAATATGCACACCTTCGTGCCCTGTTAAGCGGATGTGTGGGAGTGAAGGGAGATCCGGGCGATTCGAACCACGCGGGAATTGTACCGAGACAACCTCAAACGCGTGACGCCGTGCGGTTTCCATGGTGGCGAGGCCGAGGCTTGTGCAAGCCTTTTGTCCTCTGCCGCTCATGGCACATTTCACGCCATTTCACGGCTTTTGGGTCCGGTCTTGTGTGTGTGTGTGTGTGTGTGTGTGTGTGTGTGTGTGCGTGCGTGCGTGCGTGCGTGCGTGCGTGCGTGCGTGCGTGCGTGCGTGCGTGTGTGCGTGCGTGTCTGCGTGTGCGTGTGCGTGTGCGCGTGCGCGTGCGTGTGCGCGCGTGTATGTGTGTGTGTGTGTGTGTGCGCGCGTGCGTGCGTGCGCGCGTGTGTGCATGCATGTGTATCGGCGTTTGTGGAGCCATCGCTTGTTGCATGTTTTGCTGAGTCACGGTGCGCATCGTTTCCCTGGTTTTTACCGGAACAATGACGTTAAACATTTAGACGTGGCGTGCTTCGCTCGTGATGCTGGGAACGGATCGGCATCCGATACGTGGCACGGCCAACACGCCCAGCGCGGTGATGCCTGTTTTTAATACGGCACGTGGCGTGGAATTTGGAAGAGCTGGGGGGCCGACGTCAGCTGGGGATTTTGCCGAGTCATTCTGCCGGCAGTGAGCTTGCCGTGACGACGGCGCGTCACGGCGCCGGCCGTGCGCGCGCTGCCGGCCGGTGCCGGCTCAGCCGGGCGCCGTCCTCAGGCGGCCGGTCGCACTCTCCGCGTACAGAGCGGGCCGGCATGCGGTCAGGGGCCGGCCCGTGCCCGGCCGGACCCGGCCGGATGCTGCCACGCACCGCGCCGGCAGATGCGTCCAGCTGGGGCCGCGCCCGGCCGGTCCGTTAGGCTCGGTGGGCCGCCTGTGCCGCGCGACAACCTCCCGCAGGGGAAAGACGTGCTCAGCATCGTGAGTGGGAGAGGGACCCGATGCGGACTCTCAGTTTGCAGTGATTGTTCGGCGGTTGCGGCCAAGCGGGTTAATTAGGGTGCACAACTATGCAATTTGCATCATATGGCAGGTGAGCAGGTAAATAGATATGTCATATCGATCAGTCAAATGAAGGAGCTTCATTTTCATTCTGCTTGAGGGCAAGTTTCTTTTTTTCTTTGCGTGCAATCCTTACATTTTCTTGAATACACGGTCTCACGGCGGTCTGTGTCGCGCTCCTTGTAAACTCCGAAACCGAATATCCGTTTCGGTGTACTCGGGACACTTAAGGCCGTGGTGTAAGCCTGGGAGCGCCCGGTCGGCTGTCCTCCTCCGCACGGCCGTGTCGTCGGTGCTGACCGGCGGGGGCGGCCGGGGCGGTCGGGGTGCGGCGTTGGTGACGTCTTGTCCCGGCGCACCTGCGCGTCGTCGCGCTAGCCGTCTCAGGACCGGACGCCCGTGCCGCTGGTGGCACAGCGG